CTGCTCTTCCCGAAGCCACCAAGCCAGGGGAGAACAGTCAATTGCCACAGGTGGCTGGGCGGTAAAAGACTCGTACTCGTCCAAGTCGCTCATCGCCGGACTCACGACATCTAATTCACGCGCAAGCATGTCATATTCATCCAGCCGCTTGTCTTGACTTCCTAGCCGAGGAGTCAGAGTGGCAATCGGGAGTCCCTGATAATGATGTTTCCAATGGTTCCTGGCGCCGTCAAGGACCTGCTTATGCCATGACCTTGGCCAGTTCTTCTTGATGTGCGCCAGCCGCCTCGACGGGTGAAGTATTATGGCCGCGCCGTAGACCGGACTCTCGTCCGTCAGTTGGTAGTACTTGTCAAACACGGCCCAAGAAGCTGCGATGCAGCTTCGCATCTCGCTATCATGAGCACACCGTTCAAACTCCTGGGTGTAATGCTTGTGTAGAACGTCCAGGGTGAAGAGCGAACGATCCAACGTAGCGCAACGTCCCTCCGTAAGCTGCGTTATCTTCCAGAACGGCTGCAGAAATGCGCGCGTCTCTGTGAGTACTCGCCACTCTTCTGGCGAGAGGTAGTCCTCGCGAAGATCGTCATAATACTTCCTCTGGTACCATTCCACGTCGCTTTGGAGATTAAGAGTAACGTCTAGGAGGCGGAACCACGAGTTCCAGCGCGTATCATTGTCAAGTCCTAGGGACCTCCCCGCGCGCCTCCTGAACTCATTCCAGCGGAAGTCGCAGCCGCGCATATGCACCGAAATGTTGTGCACCTTACCAAGCGGTCCGAGCCGCCTCCAGCCTTGTATTCTCTGGGCCTTGACCGATTCAGAGAAGTCTGCACCAAACGCCGATTCGTCTGTAAGCTCAATTTGCTCCAGAGCTGCCTGCGCTGCTTCTTTGGAATCCATGAACAGGAAGGCTTGTACAGCGAGGTTGAGAATATGGCCATAGCAGCGGATTCGCTGCGACCTGGCGTCCCAAGCGATGCCTTTACCTTGAAGATGTTCGCCCAGAAGGCGGCATAGCTTGTCGTTTGGGCCATGATTATCGCCAGTGTAGAAACCAATCTTGTGCCAGATGTTGTAGTCTTCAAGCACACGCCGCAGAATCTTCCATTGTTCCGCACCACCATGACTGCCGGGGCCGTCCAGTCCGGGTAGCTCCGGCAAAGCCAGCAGCGCTTGTAAGGCCTCCTTCGTACCTCCGTCAACAAATCTCACGCAAATTCCGAGGAACGCCTTATGGTTCGGAGCGGACCAAACATCTGCGGAAAGATGCAGCTTCCACGGCGTCGACTGCAGCCTTCTCCGCAGGATGTCTTTGTGAATGCTGTAGGAATTCGCGACGAGTTTCTGTATAGAGCCATTTGACAGACTAATGACACCATCAGCCGTAGGATTGATTGTAGAAACGAGCGCATGCAACTCTGGCCACGAGCTGTAGTTATAAGAGAGGTTGCGGACGGTGACCAGCTGGACTAGTGCCTCACGCGCCGCCTTGAGGTTGACGGCGCTTCTTAACGCGTCCTCTTGTCCTAACAGCTGCTTCGCCGCGTGTATCTCTCCAGCCTTGGCAAAGGCGTCCTGAATAAGGCGATCGCGTTGTCGCTTGACAGGATGCTCCGGTGCCTCTAGCTCAATGCTGTGAATCCTCAACAGATGGTTTCGAAAGGTCGTCGAGACGCTTGTGGAGTACGGTGGGTCCATGCAATGCCTATAATAGTAAATCTTTTCATTTTTGCGACCGCAGCGGCTGGGTTCTGAGCCAGCAGGCTCGCGAGCGTGGGCCCAGGTGTTCGCAGTCGTCTTTCGTTTCCGTGATGGGCGGTCGCTGGAAGAGGTGGCAAGCTGAGGCCCACTGCCAATGGTGGAACACGGAGGCAGGTCGCTGGCGGACATTGGAAGCCACCAAGGATCCACTGACGCGCCAGACGTTGGCGATGACATGGCAGTTGCTGAGGCAGGATGAATGCTGCCGCTGTCGAACAACCATATCGAATCCCCTATAACACAGCTCGCGGAAGGATTTTCAATTCTCCGCCGTATGGAATACGTATGGAATACGTATGGAATGGGAACCAGTCATATGGAATATGGAATATGGAGTATGGATTCTATGGAATTTTCCATATGGATTAATTAATCCATACGCGTATGGATAGAAAGCCTGTCTGCTACCTTGTTGGGAATGGCGATGAGCATGGAATCTCCCGCTGGCCAGACGTGCAGATGGTCAGGTGAAATATTTCACGCGCACGATCCATCGGCACGTACCTCGCCAGGCTTCATGCGGAACTCGCATCAAAGCACAACCAGATACGCGTGCTGGTAATCAATGCGAGACTTCTGCATGATGTTGCAGCGGACAGCAGAATGCGCGCCGTCAGCGCCGAGCATAATGTCGAATCTGACCTCCGTGACCTGGGAAAGCCAGTCTCTGTCCTCAACCTGGGCCGCCGCTGTAAAATCGGCACTGCCGAGCTTGTGGTTGAAGAACAACGTTACATTGGGTAGTGCATCGAGGCAGTCCAGGAGTGCGGCGGTCAGAGATGTTCGATCGATGGCAGGGTTGATCTGCCGCGTTTGGTAGTTAGCTCAAGGAGTAGATACCACTGCTGACCGACAGCCACTTACTCTCCCTAGTGCGTCAGAATCCTGGGATAATTAGAAGAGCCCTCCGAGTGCGTTTTTTCGTGTGAATCATTCTGCCTCGCATAGACACACAGGCAGCAACGACACGTTGATGAAGCTCTGCCTGGCCAGCGTGCCGCCGGGCGTTTATGCCGCGCTCCGAGATGGCGAGGTTGATGGACTGTCCAGGATTGAGAGGGCCAGCAGCAGAATCCCCAAGATATGTGCATTGTCAGGAGTTGGATCAAAATGGATATAAACCTAAGAGTATGTGTTTTTTCCCATTATTTGACATAAGCGCGCTAACCAGACTACAGAGCCAAACGCTTGGCAACCGGTTCAAGCCCGCTGTTCTCCAATGCTTTGGCGATATTACCTCTGCCATCACTGGCCACTTTGAGCCTATTTTGTCTGTCGTTGCCCAGGTCCTTGAGCAGGCCGCTACCGTTACGGCTAGCCCTGACGGTCCCTACGAGATGTTTGACTACGTCGTCTCTCTGCGTGAGGGCATCGCCGATGCCTGGGGCGGCACCGTTGGCGCTATGAAGTCGAGCAACAAGAGTAAGCCAAAACACCAAAATACGACGAAGGAAGCATGCTAAGGTCTTGTAGCCCAAGCCCCCCAGCAATATGTGCCCACCATCTTCCAGCTTCTTGGTGTCATTGCTAGTGACTCTACCAACAGCCAAAGCCTAATGCCCTCATGCATGGGCGTCATTGGGTAAGTACTTTGCCCCATTCTCGCCGTGACCATGAGGATAATCTATACAGTGATCTCGCCGACGCCTACCCCAACGGCGAGCTTGTGGACGCTTTCCACTAGAGTTGGTTCACCACCACGATCAAGGAGACTAAGACGAACCGCGACTTTTCTCCCCGCACCATCGCACCAGCGAGGCTGCTCGCTTGTTAAGACTAACTCTAATCAAAGAGCCCCCGTGCAGCCCGGAGTCTTTTTATGAGTTCTGGGCTTATTGGTCGCGGTGGTTGAATACGTCTAAGCCATTCTTGCTCGGTCTCAATATCGATTGTTGGTACCCTTCTAGTGTTCACTATCCATGTGGTCTCGAGGGCCACGTCCAGCGGTCCAGGGGCAGATAATAGGGAGTCCACCTTGGCTTCAACAAGGTCCTCGCGTAAACTCATGAGCCATGGATGCACGGCTGTATTGTCAAGGTTAGAAATGAAAGTGCAACATGCCTTGCATGGAATGGCGAACATACCAGAAACATAGTCCTTTATAGTGACAAAGCCTCTGTCCGGAGATGCGGCAACGTACAGCTTCAGATCTCTCCAGTACATTGGCCTACCTCTGCCGCAGCATTTGTTCAGAAATTCGGTATCCGAGTCCTCCTCCCAGCTTCCATCTTCCTTCATCTCGCGTGCGTATGGCCGATCCTCATCACTAAGCTCCCCGTATGCCACAAACTCAGCTCCTTCATGGTGTTGGTGGTGTTCGACCCAGTCATGTTCCCAGTCGTTCATGAATTCGAGGGAAGCCAAGATAGAGGAGACAGGTGGCTGTTGTACCGGTAAGAATGCGATTTCATGCCAAGTACCATCTAAATTCTGAAAGGGTTCGAGCCCGTCTCGGCCACTTTGAAAGGTCTTCATGACGGATATGCAAGCAGGAAAGTTGCCTGCGAGAGTCCAGTAGAGGCGACCAGTGCTCTCGCGCTCTAGACGTATCCTTTCTTCAATTCGACGTACCCTCTCTTCCATCAAACGTGACCTTTCTTTCATTTGATTCGTCCTATCTTCCAGTGAAAGGGCTGGTATCGAATCGTTAGCTTCCATTTTATTACTGCGTCGTTCGCATGGAACCGGTTCTTGGACATCGGTGGGCGGCAAGCCTCGATGGCACGCTAACCTCGAGACGTGTGATTCATTGTCGGGGGCAAGGAAAAATTATTCGCCGATGCCACCTCGCTGATAAAATGGCTAGCCACTCCATTTTCCCTTTTTTTCTTTTTGCTGTCGCCGTGACTAATAATCAGGCCACCTCAATTCCAAAGAGGCTGTGAAGTACCCCATTACCCAACTATTGCCCAATCTCCTACCCTCCTGGAGTATCTCCATTTTGTCTCTATCTTGGAAAAAGGAGGCATAGAAAAAGGAAGTATAGACGCTTAAGGATCGGGAAAGTGTCACTTTAGAAGGCTTATGAAGAGGAAAATGGACGGTCGTTGTTTTTCTTAGACATTTGAGCGCCTACGTCGGCTCACGCCTATCTGAGCCATACCCTAAACGTTGCTTAATATTTCCTATAGCCTACGGTTCGGATCGACCCTCCATTTGTAGCAGTCGTTTTCTATCACACCTCCTTGCTTATGATTAACACCACCACAGTTGCAGCTGTCTGCCGGCACAGACAGGTAGTGCTCACACAAGGCCTCGTCAAATGCACTGTCTCGCCCCTCCAAGTCTCTTCTACCCGACGTGTGGAGGCTGCCAAAGCTGCATCCTTCCTTGATTTCGAGCGACTCCTTGATGACAACTGTGCCGAGGCCTCCATTGTACGGGAAAGGAAAGTCCCTTTCTATGAAAAAACCCGGGCCGAGGTTCTTGCGGGAGAGGATATCACAAAAGCTCTTCGCCGCGTTCTGCATTCGCTCATCTTCCGTGTCTTCGCCGCTGTTATAACACTTGACTTTATTGCTCTGAGGATCACCTTGAGCATATCGTAAGGGTGCGGTGGTTTGAATTGGCTTTGTTGACGACGTCGTTGATGTGGAGGTGCTTGTAGGAGCAGGGCATGAGGTCCCTGCTTCCCATAGATTCTCGATGTCGCCATCGTCGCCATCCGGAGCGCTGGCGCTGCCCCAGAACCAAGGCTGGTTGATGCATCTTGAGTTTTCAAAATCAAGGTAAGAGCACGGCGTAACAATCGGAGAATCTGTATTGCCGACATACAGGATAATCTCACGTTTGGGCCAATTTCCGGAGGGTGGCGCAGGTGTATCCGGGCCGATAGACTTGGGAGGCGTGGGAAAGGGCCCAGTTGCCGACGTCGTGGTCGGCTTTCCGTCACTGCCCTTAAAAACAACGGCAGGCCAATAAGGAGTTGTCGCCGGAACAGGTCGAATAGTTTCCGCAGCGCGTTTATGTTTGCCGACACTGTCTTCGGTCTTTGTGACAGCCTCAAATATCCACTCCGTGATAGTTAGTGGCGCTTGTGTGATAGTGCTGGTCCACGTTCCCTGGCTGACTGTGATGAAAGGGTAGTTCACAGTACTTGTTGCGCCGGTCCAAGGAGGTATGATGGCTTTGCAGGGTAGAGAACAAGTGAACTGTGGCTGATCCATATTCCATATCTTAGGGTCGATCCAGACATAATCTTCAAAGCGATTGTCGCTTCCCCCAACATCGAGGACACTGATCTGTGACCATTTCGGGTGAATTTCAACATTGAGGTTATCAGCGGCGAGGATGCCCTTGCCATCCATTACGGCCATGTACTGGGTCCCGATCGTCACGAGGTTGGTGATACGAATGTTGGCGAAATTGTTTTTGAGGAGCATGAGTACCTTTTGGCATTGTTGCGTATCGATACAGTTCTGGCTGTATGTCGAGAACCACTATATGGCCATAAAGTCAGTAAAGCCTTCGTAGAAACATAAGAAAGACATTACGAAAGGTAAGTCAGAAAAAAGGGAGCACTATTCAGTCCTGATTATGTACTGTACAAAACCAACTTACAGAGTAGATACCTGCAGCTGCGATAAAGATATTATCCGATCCCGTCATAATAGTGGACCAGGACTCGTCGCAGCCGTTGAACTTATCTCCTCGAGTGCACGTGTAATCAGGGTCGCCAGGGAACTGTCCAACTGTGTTGGTAAACGGAGCCGGTGGCGAGGGTGTCGGCTGGAAGTAAGGTGACTCTGTTTGTAGTAGACCAACGAATAGGTTAGATGCCGAGTGAAAGTTATACTGGTAGAAGACAGCATGTTCCGACGCGGTGCCATAAAGCCTAGTACACATGCATGTTAGCTACTATTATGCTATTATTTGCGGTAGTAAACGTACCAAGTAGGATCTGTACTTTCGATCAAAAAGCCGCGAGCGACATATATTGAGGTCTGCGTCATATCATTCTTAGGATCTACCCAATCAGGATCGCTACATTGGGTGACTCGGTCAGCAGAGAGCTTCTGGCACCAATGTGGTCACCCCAAACTTACTCAATCATATGATCAGCCCCCCAGAGCCACATATTCTCAAAGTAGCCCGAAGCCGATTTTGTTAGGTGCATCATCAGACTGGCGGCAGAGCATCCTGGATCGATCCCGCTTGTAGCGGCAGGGCACTCAGCGGGCGTAAGTTTTGTGCCGAGTGCGCCTCCCACTCTCGCGTGACAGTCCCACAAACCTGCAGCGCCTTGAGACTCGGCTTTAATATTCCATTGCACGAGAATGGCACCAGCTGTCGGACCATGTGTCGTAAAAAGAAGGTCCTGCATTTCCACATTACCGATCTGTCCAGCCTGTCCGACCTGAAGCATGACCTTGGGGTTGCTTGACACGCATGTTAACCGAGACTCGAAAGAAGGAGAACTCATCAAATAGTCACAGTCTGGGTTTAAAATAAAACAGCCAGTTGCTTAGCACTTACTTGGCATTCGAAAAGTAAGGGCCCGATGCGGCCAGTTGTGACCAGGTCTCACCCACAATCTTAGATCCTGGTGGAATGACAATAGTCGAGGTGAGAATATAGGTTCCGGCGTCCACAAATAAGATCTTACCGACACTGGCATACAGAGCAGCTTGGAAAGCTGCCGTGTCGTCGGTCAAGCCGTCGCCGTGGCAGCCAAGGTCCTTAGTATGCATGAATGCCGACGCGGGTTTGTCCTCATACTGTGGCCTCGCACGCTCAAAATAATATCCATCCGCATCTAGGAGTTTTGATACACGCCGAAATTTTCCGACTTTGCCGCCGGGAGAAAAGGAGCGTGCACTCGAGCCCTCATAGATAGGGCCAACCGCCCATTGATCGATGTGGGCTGATGAAGCCAGGAGTGTTGCACCAGTCGTGTCAGCCACAGCCACCCCAACTCCCGAGAGAGCGATGTTCTCGAGGAATACTCCTGTACTGCCTTTACCAGGAGCGGAATCGATGTGATTAACGACTATCGCCTGGCTGGCACCGGTAACCGACGAGTCCAAAATCGAGACAGAGCCAACTAGGAGGAATGTCAATTCTGGACAGGAGTTTGCAGGCATAGAATCAAGAAAGAAGGAGGGAGGACAAGGAGAAATCAACGGAAAAAGAAGTGAAATGGGGGCAAGAAAGGACACTCTCGACCCAAGGAAACTTACCATTCCCAACTCCGCCGTCGCCGACAAGCTTAAAGCCAATGCCCACATTCTTCATAGTAATAGACTTCCATACCCAGCCCCAGTCCCAAATGACTTGAATACCCACGTCACAGCCGTCGAATTTGAGGCGCTGCGCTGTGAACTGCTGGCTACCCGCCTTGAGGCCAACGCCGCCGCCAGTAAAGGTGATATCAGAGATGCTACCGCCGCTGCCATTTTCAGCAAACATGCCAATCTGATCCGTGCCGGACTTGGCAATCAGCTCAACGTTTTGCGTGCTCGTGGCCTGGGCAACTTGGTAATGGATGCCTGTGATGACAGAACCCTCCTTAACCTCACGGATGTCAATTCTGATGTTGCGGATCTGACGATAAAAGTTGGCCGTGTTCACAAAGTATCTAAGGGTAAAATAGTCAGATTCGTTAGACAACATATCAACTGCATAGGCGAAAGCGTGTTCTTCACATACTCGGGGTCTTTGCCATCAATACCAGCACCCTCGGCGCCTGTGTACTCGTCGGTAGACAGCACGCCGAGGCCGATAAATTTCGGCGCGGCGACGAGTGTTGGCCGGTCATTGGCATCTCCAATAACCTGAGTGCCGAATGGCATGGCAATTGTAGAGGAAACGAGATACTTTCCGGGTGGGAAGTAGACGATGGCGTTCTTTGTCGTTGACCCGTTGCAACCACGGTCGCATCGGGTGCTGTTAGTTCCCATGGCCTTATTGATAGCCTTAGTATCGTCCTATATGGCAAACATTGAACGAATTAGCATAAGTGAAAACAAAAATAACCACGTCAGAAGGAGTGGCTAAAAACCCACAGTGACACCGTCACCCACGGCTCCGTAGTCTAGAACGTTTCTGAAGATAATCTTGATGCTTTGGTTAGTTGATGACAAGATGAATTTCCTGATGTCGACGTACATAGGAAGTATCATTCCCCCAAGGTACGGTGCCTTTACGGGCGATACTGGTAGGACGGTCCATGTTAGCCCGGCTAAACTGCAGCGAAGTCAGGTTTATGCCATCCTACTTTTGCATCCAAAATGTTCCCCTGCCAGTTGCGGTCGCACGCCTCGTCCAGTTGCCACGGTTGGTATTTAGGTCGGCCTCGGCTACCAAGGCCGCTGCTGCAGCAATTTCGTCAGTAATTGGCAGAAGTGGCGGCGTTAGCACCATTGAGGCCTCGTCAGCATGCGCGACTTGCGTGCCGCTATGACGCAGGGTCTTCCACCGAGCAGCTCCGGGTACCGTGTTGTTCCCTCGCCCGTAAAAGTATCTGTTACGGAGAGGGTTCGTCAATCGAGCCCTGTTCAGCTTATCTGACTCGGCACGAGCATTATCCACAATGCGCCGAGCCGCATTCAGCTCCAAGGATGTGGTGTTTCTGACCAGCGACGCGGATTTGGGTGAGGACTGTGCACCTCGGAGCCTAAGCACGGGCGATTCCAGCGAGTCTTTCAGAAAGATCGCCTTGAACCCCGGATTCGAGCGGTTCAGCCGAGCGATACCACGCAATTGGAGGTAGCTGCGCATGAAATGGTCGCGGTACTCTAAGCCTTGTTTGGTAATCTAGATATAGATATTGAATCATTCGTTATCACACAACCGCTTCGAAACAGTCGATTCAAAGATGTAGCAGAAATAGACGTACCGTGAGGTTCTCGTGTATCCGCGTTTGATAGGCTTTTCCTGTTCTAACTCGAGCCTTGAGCTCTTCCGCTGTTAGTCCCGGGCCAGTCAGGGCAGACTTTCTGGTTGCACTGCGTTTTGCTTGAGTGATAGGGAAATCAGAAACGGGCTCGTCGGCATCGCCGACATCTCTCGTGGTTGTCACCCTGGCTGCAATTCCGTCTGCGCCGTCATCATTTGCCAAAAATCGGAATAAGAGGATTGACTTGTTTTCGTTCCACTCGGGGTCATTCTCGTTCCTTCCATAGTGCATAAGCTCTCTGCGCAATTCGACATGAGATAGTCCCTGCCCTATGTAGTGCAGATTAGTCAGTAAATTCCGAATTGTCTTTTTCATTCTTGTATTTCTCGTCTTGGACATCATTGTAATCCTGGAGGCCTGGAGCTGAGCGTACAATTTTGTTCAGCCTTGGTGCCTTGGGGGGCCCCGTCACAGGCGATTGCGGCACAACGCGTCTCAGAAGCGGAATTTCGATGCCAGCCGTTTCCACCCTCAACCCTGATCGAAATGTTAGTCTCATAACCTCGGCTTCTGCCACGGTTCTGCTATGTAGAAACACGTGTTGGGAGAATACGTACCAAGTCGCGGGCGGGAACTCATCACACGAGTAACGGATACCAGACTCCGCAATAATATTGTTATTAGAATCACGCAGGTGCTTCAAAGCATTTACAGGCGACCCTGGCTCCAGTGATGTCGTGAACCACTCGCCGTCCTGTCGCATGGGCTTGCTCTGGTCAACCTCCGGGCACGGGTGGGTGGCTTTCCAGGTTGGTGGACAAGAGGCTGAACGGCGCGACTCTTGGTGAGAATGATCATCGCCAGTGTCTAGATCGTAGCCATAAACATTTCCGCTAATTCCACTTAGGGGATGCAGATTTTGCCCCCGCGAGGTGGCCTGGAATGCCTCGACATTTTTGCAAATCTCTTTCATGTAGTGGCAGTTGTAGGATAGGTAAACGGTGTAAGGCTCGACGTTGAAAACGCGCCATGGAGTCTGGTTCGGGACAGCACGACTGGTCGTGTATAGGTCAGCATAAAAAACACCCTGAAGGACTTCGTAGTTGTGTGCATGGTGCAAAGAGGTCCAGCATTGGAAGTATCTTGCAGCTCCTCATTCTGCTCCATCCAACCTGGCACACATGAAGATGCGATATCTACTACGCGAAGAGGGCGCCAGACGATTCAACTTACTATAGGTAAGCGCCAGGGGTAGTGGTGTCAGGCATGTAATCTTGGTAGTATTGAGCCTCTGCGACAGGAGGGAGCAAGGTAATAAAGACGGGCGCTAATTGCGCAACGAGCCGCAACCAAGCCATGTCGCTGTGTTTGCTGGGCCGGGGAACTGTATTCAGAGATGAAGCAAAAAACCATGAGGGGGGAACAGATATAGAGAAGTGAGACCAGAAGGTAGACATAGAGCCGGACATTGTAAGCCCGCTCAGATAGTAAGTCATTTCCATGTATCATCTGTCTTGTCTCTGATATGCCTGAAGTCCACCCATCGGTCGTACATCGCCCCTCACATGCGATAGGCCAGGGTCTAATTGAGGTGAACGTTACTTATTCATTTTCTCAGACTCATAGCAGTGGCATTTATGGTTTGTCGGTGGGTCGCAGCGGGTTACTATTCAGTGTTGCCGTATACGCGGACCCGACTAGGCGTTGAAGGTGTGTACTAGTGGAATGTGGTCGGGCGAGACGCGGTAGCCGCCCCATCGTGCCGCATTTCGTAATTTCACTTCAAAGTAATATTGAATCATGATATAGTGATATTGCATGACTCGGGGGCACGCTGAGATGATTACAATGCGTAAGAGGCAGGCCGGATTACTACCCCATCGTACGAGAGATGCTTCGGGACATGGATGAGCTGCAAGCGTGTGGAGACAGGTTTAGCAGCGAACAATCTCGATGGCAATGTCAAGAGCGGCTCAGGCCACAATCTACTGCCAAGACGATGACTAGAGCGATCATGCTGCTAAGCGGGACCCCAGCTCGGTTGCAGCTCGGTTGACCTCCGATCTGGCGGACATCTTAGCCGGCTGTAGTAGGACTTACTTGACAACCGCACTTTTCTATTTCGTCTCTGGTTCTTCATTCATTCAATAGACTCGAAACCACCACAGTTTCAACAGGATCTTTCTGGCATCTCCATCATTGATTCTTCTACAGAAGCGGTGCATTGATTGCACTACAAGCTTCCACGGCGATGAAGTCGCCTCTAAGAGCATCTTATGCGAGCCACCTCACGACGCTGACGATTGCGCTCTATTTAGCCGGGACTGTTCAAGCCTCCAACAAATGCGCACCCTCAACATGGCTGGCAGGACAATTTAAAGCAAGAGGACTTGATACTGCCACTACTTTGCACCCCCGCACCGCGTCACCGTCCGATGTGGTAATCGTCAGCTCCAGGTCCAGTTCGATGAGCCCCCTCCTCTTTGGCGGTAACATCACCGCGGGCGAGATCAACTGCCGATACTCGGCCAGCACCAAGGGAATGGATATCAACTACTACTCCTGCATGGCACTGGCAACTAAGTTCGGCATCAGCATCGAGCAATTCTTCCAGCTGAATCCTGGACTGCATCCCGACTGCGGAAATATCCAAGCCGATACGGAATATTGCGTAGATGGCTGTAAGTCATTGCGAAATTCCTTTGATCGGCCGAGATCTAGGCTACTAATGACAAGTTACGATTCTATGCGACCTTACGAATAGTCATTGAGCCTATCCGAGCCACCAACGGACTCTGTGGGCCTGCCAATGACAATGCGACTTGCCTAGGAACGGAGTTCCAGTGCTGCAATGCGAAGACCTGGACATGCGGCAACTCTCTGTAAGTACTCCAGCTGCGTACAAAAAGAATTGCTCTTTGTTATCCTGAATGGTACAGTTCAACTAACACCAGATTGCTCCCCTGTATCAGAGCGGACTGCGCAGATGGAACGTGCTACGAGGGGGCATGCGCAGGAGATGACGTGTTTACCACGAACGGCGAGTGCGGTCGCCAGCATGGCTACAAGCAGTGCGCGGGGACGTGGGGCGACTGTTGCAACGCCGACGGCAAGTGCGGCACAGGCGAGTCCTTCTGCGGATACGGCAAGTGTCAACTCGGCAATTGTACAGTCATCCCCCAACCTCCGAAGGTGGGCGGAGTGACCCCGGACGGCACCTGTGGCGGCAAGTACCGATACAAGTGCAACATCGCTTACGGCGAGTGCTGCAACAAATATGGCATGTGCGGTTCGCAACCGTCAGACTGTGGGATAGGATGGTGAGTAGCCCTCCCTAGTTGGAGGTTGCTCGCGTTGTCTTCGAAGCAATTCACTATCAGGGTGAAGCGGCTTGCTAACTTGTCGCATAGTCAACTACTCTTCGGTAACTGTACTTCCTCCGTCACCTCAGCAACGTCGAATCAGCTATCCAGCGTACCCGCAACTACTACCACGCCAGCAAACTTGCCCAGTACCTCCATTCCTACTGAAACCGATCTCCCTTCGTGTGGCCAGCTGTGTTTTAATAACATGCTTGCTCAGCACTCTACTCTGGGATGTGGCGCACAGGACGCTTACTGCATGTGCAACAATATCGACTTCAGCAATGGTCTGCGCGACTGCTCAAATGGTGCCTGCGGACAAGAGGTCGCCAGCACTGTCATTGGGTTTGGCAAATCATATTGCTCCGCCGCATTTGCCAGCCATACGGCTCCGGTCACCGCCACTGGTATTAGCTCTCTGCCCTCTTGTGGTCAGGCTTGCTTCAACAACATGCGTGGTCAGTACTCACAGCTCGGCTGCGGCAGTCCTGACCCGTATTGTCTATGCGGCAATACTAACTTCGACTACGGCATCCGCGACTGTTCTAACGCTGCTTGCGGGACAGATGTTGCCCGCACTGTGATTGCATTTGGCCGCGAGTATTGCTCCGCTGCATCTGCCAGTCATTCGGCTCAAGCCACAGCCCAACCAAGCATTGCATTCCAAGTCAAGCCTCACAGCAACACAAATTGCAACAGTAATTCAGAGATTGCTCCTGTTGACTTCCATTCCGGCTCCAATGGTCGATGCGTTAATCTCAGCTGCCATGCTGCAAGTCTCGGTATCCATGCCGTAGGTGACTGTCCTGATGGACATGTTCAACTGAGCTACTGGCAAGAGTCGGACTGCTCTGGCGAATGGTATGGCTACGGGTACGCAAGCAGAAGCACATGCCGGAACCTATGGTCCGGCGGGTTAATGTTTAAATCCCTATGGATGAAGTGCATGGCGCCGAGCGATGACTGCGTCACCAAGGGCACATGTACCCCTAATGCAGAGCCCAAGGTTGGTATATGTGAAAAACCAGCAGTTGCATTCCGCTTTCAGAGCCGCTACCATACGGACTGTACTGGGGAGGTGCATAACAATGTTGTGGTAAATTCCGGCTCCAACGGTATGTGCGTTGAAACTGAATGCATGGTGGGTAGCCTAGATATTGCTGGCTTTGGGGACTGTCCAGATGACAACGTGCAGCTTAGCTACTGGGGGGATAAGGGCTGCACTGGTGAATGGTATGGCTATGGATATGGGAGTAGGAACACATGCCGACATCTTTGGTCTGACGGAAACAAGTTCCGGTCGCTATGGGTAAAGTGTGCGAAGAAGAGTGATGACTGTGTGTCCCAGGGGACATGCGTAGCTAATACAGAGCCAGCAAATTCTAAATGTTAGTTTTCCATTTGAGAATTAAAAATCTCACAAGCTAGATAGCGCATTTTTACAGTTGCAACAGGGCGGTTCGACAACTGAACCGAAGTCGGCCTGACTTGACATCTTTGCTACACGTAGGGTAGCTCAACTTTCCACGACATAGCGATCAGTATCCACGACAAACATGACCTGTGACGCTTCGGTCGCTGTAGATAGGACGCCGAACACTTGGGGAATAGCCCCCGAGCTAGTTAGTCATTGATAATAAATCACGCGGCATGTTGGATGCTGGGGATGAAAAGACGAAGTGGAGAGAACAGAGAACGACAGGGATGAAGTGGAAGGGATGAGGCGAGTGGCCAGAAATGTACCTATGAATAGATAGTGAGCCCTATTGGCTGGAAGCCACCGGGCGTAATAAAGCAATGAATGAATGTAAATCGTCCTTTTCGAAATAGATTTGCCTGCTCGCGGTTGCTTGCTCGGCGACGATTCATGCTGGCTTAGACAAGCAAGCGTGTTAACGTCGCTTGGCAGAGCTGGTAGGCTCGACGATTCAGTCTCGCTCGACACTGCTGATCCTATTAGCAACGCGGTTTTCCTGGTCTGCGCAGAATGTTTTGGCGATTTTGCGTCATTCGACAGTATCTGTTCGTTTGCTGTGTTTGGATCGGAGCTGGCTGGCGCATCACTATGGAAGGTTAGCGATGTCGGGTAGGCAGGCAACCGCAGTTAGTGTACGCTTCAACCATCACAGCCTCGGGAGCTCGCCCTTCTTGTGACGGCGGCGGGTTCAGCAGGTCAGCCAGAGCGAACATGCTGAAGGCTAATAGCTAACTAGTAAGACAAGTGAGATGTTGAACTCACAAAGCTTTGCGCACAAACGAGTCAATGAAGAACTGGACACGCGAAGCTGGCGCGCTAACTTCCGGTGGAGTGCAGGCCGGAGCACCCACTTGCCGTTCTCGGTGCATGTAGGCAGCAGAAAGTCGATGCTCATGCCTGGGGTGAGATCGCAGCTGGTGTTCGGTGGGCAGCATAGAGCAACGGGTCAATGGCGTGGAAAGCCACCGCCCATGCCATGGTCGAGCTGAGTAGCCGGCGTGTGCAGCATGTGCAGCAAAAAGACACTGCTGATGGCAGTCCAGCACTACGTTCGCTGCGTGTTCTATGTTGGTGGAGCAGCAAGCTACCAGTCCACGCTAAGGGTGCCTCAGCAGCCAGCGTTCGCAGCATGTGGCTAGGAGTTGTTGGGCGGCAGAAGCCGCTGCTCATGCCAGTCCCAACACCAGGTACTCGCGATATATTCCATGAGTTGATGGGGGAGGAAAGCCGCTGCTCATGTCCAGAGTGAAACCGCTGCGAGCGTAAGCAGCCTGAGCAGCAGAAAGTCGCTGCTGATGCCAGTCCAGCGTCAGGCACCGCAACCAATGAACTCATGGGGAGCGGAAAGCCGCTGCTCATGCTACGAGTGGAACTGCAGTGGGGGCTAGCAACATGCACAGCCAAAAAAAACGTCGATGACATCGACTGCGCGGACATCCACTGAAACCCCAAATCCTAAATGCCCCGTTTGTGATTTCGCGGACGACCTTCTGTATACGCCGTGCGATAAGCCGTCTTTCGTTGGTCGCTCGCCCCCAGGCCGCTGACGATCGCAGGTCACATCTTTTGCAGGAGTTGTTGGGGATGGTGGGAAGCGAAAAGCACAAAAGCTGGCGCCGAAGTGCCCCGTGTAGGATTGACATTACCCTGGGTAACGGCAACAGTAGATAGAGAATATTATGGCGGGGAATAGAGTGGCTAAGGGTTGTGACGGGGCTATTCTTGGCCGCGACTCAGACGCTATAAGCGTAACTAAAATTCCGTGGAGCACAAGCTACGGCATAGTAGTGGCTGCTTAAGTCACCACAATTCTTTAAAGTTAGCGTACGCTGGGATAGCTAAAAACAAGCGTTTATTAGTGGTGTTTCGTGTTTCCAGACCCTGACGCTAAGAAACTAGTGCCTTAGATAGGTGCGTCGACTTTTTGTTTTCAAGGGAGGAACCCGATTATGCACAAAAGATAGAAACCAAACATTGGCGCATTTCGATTAACGAGACAATATACGCTTGGGACGGGACGCTTGACAGTTGACAAGCCAAAGACCTCCTGTAGGCTTCTCGCCATGCGTGAAGCCTTATCCGTGGCGAGTATAACTGGCGACGGTTCGGTCGCGGTAGATAGCACCCCAAACACTTGGAAAATAGCCCTCAAGCTACCTATG